TGGCTTTGTTCTGGAAGAGAAGGGAACGTGACTGTGGCTCCGGCGCCTCTCCTTCCCCCCTGGGCCCGGGGATGGGGCGGGGGTGCAGGCGCGCGCGGCATGGGCCCCGCTTGGTCGGCAGAGCTTCGGAACCTCGCCCCCTCCCCCGGCACGAGTTGACTCACCGGGGATTTCCACCCCCTCCCCAAACTCTGTTCTAGTCAGATGCTCCGGGCGCCACGCGGCTGAGCCCACAGTCTCCCCTGTGGCGCGACACCGGCACCGGTGCGGCGCTTGCCGTGCGGCTGAGGTTGGGATCTCCCCCCCCCCCCCGCACCCCCGTGTCTTCTGGGAGTATTGGGGCAGGGCACCTGGCGGGACGGGGCGGGGTCCCCCAGCCCCACTGGCGGCTGTGGAGATGCTGTGCGTGTGTATGGCGAAAGAGAAAGGAGGTGCGGCCCCAGCAGCCTGAGTGGATACCGTACATTCCACCGCCAGATAAGGAGGCTGAGACTGTGGCCCAAGGGCGGGGGCGGGTCCTGTCGCCGTTTTCTGGGCATCAGGGCTTGCCTAGACCCGGGGCGTCTCCAGCCCTCTTTGCTGTTTGGGGCTGGGCTGAACTTAGGAGCCTCCACCCTCCCTGGCCCACTGGGGCCTCATTTGTTTTTCGTTGGCTGGTTGATTGGTTGGTTCGTTCATTCATTCATCCATCCGTCCATCTGTTTATCCACATCCATCCCACATGTTTTCTGAGCACCGTGTGTGTGCTAGGTCTCCATCCAAAGGGGCTGCAAATGGACTTGGTTGCTGACACATTATACAATGGAAGCCAGACAGAAAACTAGAAATCATGCTTTTCACAAGTGTGAAGTGCTGCCAAGATAACAAAGCAAGATGCTCTGAGGAGACAGCGGCTATAATAGACCAGGGGTCAGAGCAAGTGACCTTAAAACTGAAATTTGAAAGATGAGGAGACCCCTGGGGGAACGAAGACCACTCAAGGATTTGGGGGAAGGGCATGCCAGGTGGAGGAACAGCAGGGGCAAAGGCTAGATAGAGGTGGGGTTGGCACTGTAGGAGGCCAGTGTGGTTGGAGTGGAATGGCTCTGGGGGAGAGTGGGAGGCAGCTAACTGGCCAGGGGCCTCGCCGATTGGGGCAGTGGGGAGCCATGGAGGAATTTGGAGTGACATATTGGAGCTCCCAGGCTGCTGTATGGAGAATGGCAGTGTAGGAGGGTCCTGACAGCTGAAGAGAAACCAAAGGAAAGTGGGGGTTGGGGCGCGCTGCCCTAGGCAAGAGGCATGGGGTCAGTGAGTGGCCTGCCTCAGTGGAACTCGGGGGAGGGCTCAGTGGAACTCGGGGGAGGGGCTCCTGGAAGCACGGAGCTTCCTCCTGCCTTCCTCCCTCCTCATCACCCCCTGAACAATCTTGATCTGTGTCTCTTCCCTGCCCTTCCCAACCCTGCCTCTTGTTCCCACTTGTCCCTCTTGCTCCATTTCAGGCCTGGACATTCCCTGGTTTCGAGCCCAGTGACCTCTTGCGGAGCCTCTAGGAGGGAGTCAGGGTTGCCTTGGAAAAGGTGAGCGGGAGACAGGCCCGGTGTGTAGCTAGGCCTGGGAACCCACCCAGGGAGGAGACGCTGGCGAGGCATGCATCTGCTAGCCCCAACCTGGGGCTGGCTTTCTCTTTCTGGAAAGCACCAACCTACCTTAAGCTCCTGCTTTAGTTAGCAAAACTCTAGTTGGGAAGATGAAGTCGTGTGGGCCTCAGTTTCCCCTTCTCTTACTCAGAGAGCCGCCCCTCCTGAGGATGCCGACAAGCCTCCTGGGGCTGCAGAAAATGAGAGTGCCGTGCCCTGGTCCTCCCTCCCAGAGAAGAGATAGACTTTTTGGTCAGTTCCTGGGGTTCGAGGGCTGAACCCATTTCTTTTTTTAAGGTTTTTTTTTTTAAATATATTTTATTGATTTTTTACAGAGAGGAAGGGAGAGAGATAGAGAGTCAGAAACATCGATGAGAGAGAAACATCGATCAGCTGCCTCCTGCACACCTCCTACTGGGGATGTGCCCACAACCAAGGTACATGCCCTTGACCAGAATCGAACCTGGGACCCTTCAGTCCGCAGGCTGACGCTCTATCCACTGAGCCAAACCGGCTAGGGCTGAACCCATTTCTCCAGGAAGTAGCCATAAATCTTTCTCTTGGCCGCCTGACTGGAGAGGGTGGTGGCCCTCCTTTAGGGAAGGAGGGGGCAGCCACAGGACACGCCCTGCGCTTCTGGCCCCAGTAGCAAGGGTGCTTCCCAGGCCAGTGATGGGTTTTTGATTCTCAATTTTAAACTCCAGGAGGGTCCCAGTAGGCCAGGGCAGCCTGGGGATGTCTGGTTAGGATGACCTGGCGGTCAGACTACAGTTCAAACTCTCCCCAGGGACATTCACACAGTTGTAATTCTCCTCGGAAAGCAGTGAGTTCCAGCCTCCAGGAAAGGACCAGTTTCAGTGGTGGTAGCTGCTGAGCGCTCCCAAACTGGGCCAATCAGATGCCGAAGATGGGAAGCTCAGGCCAATGAGCGGATAGCCCAATACCCTGGAATTGAAAATAAGCCAATCAGGGTGCGGGCTGTTTCTGGCCCGACAGTGGGTCTGGTAGGGCTAAGCCTGCTCCTGGCCCTCTGCGGCGGCGGGCAGAGGGCATCGGGGCGCCAGAGGCTCTGTCCCGTACAGGAACAAGGGGCCTCTGTGTGGCGATCTGGGCAGGGCAGCAGCTCCGGGGATGCACACAAGCCCTTCTCTGTTCCCAAACTAGGACGGATGTCCCTTCACCCAAGGGGAGCAGCTGCTTCTCTGTCCGGCCAAGGTCCAGGCCACCTCCCTGAGGGGGCACCGGTGACGGTGACAGAGATAGCCGAGCGACCCCGGAAGTCCCCCTTCACTCCCCGGGCTCACAGGGAACCGGCCTAACCAGCCTTTTCTGGAAGGCGGCTCCTGACGCACACGTGGTCCCTGCCAGGCCTTGGCAGACATGCTTCCAGGGACCTGGGGAGGGCTCTTCCTGCGCCCCATTCCCCACCCCCTTTTAGCAAATGGCTCCCCTCGTGAAAGGCAGGCTGCACCGCTCCTCTGAGACACCTCCCTCCCAAGCTGGAGGGCGGCCATGGTGTCGGCCTTGCATCCTCTCTGCACCTCTTCCCGCCCCTCCCCGACGGATTGATTTTCCTTGAGAGGGGGTGACTCAGGCTTTCATGGAAACAAATACCGCCCCCCTCCCCGCGGAGCTGCACGCCCCCTCACCTCTCACATGACTTCAGCACAGCTGCCCCATCCTCCCAGCCAGGACCTCCCAGACTGGTCTCCGGTGTCTCTCTCCCCCCCCATCCCATCACCCCCTCCCCGCCTTCCCCACAGCGGATGTGACTGGGGAACCAGGACTCCACCCTGTTTGTTCTAGGGGCCTCACATCTGGATTTCATCCTGCCTGGGAGGGGGTGCCAGCGCCCTGCCTATCCCTCTGGACCCTCTGTCCAAGGGCAGGGCTAGATGGTGCTGATGAGAACAGGCTGTTGGGAATCTTGCTGGGCTGGCTCCGTCAGCATCTCCTCCCAAAAGATTGGGTGGAGGGCAGCTAGTCCCCAGCGGAGTGCGGCAGGAAGAAGGGAGCTAATCGTATTTATTTCACGCTTGTTACGTGCGAAGGCTGCCTCCTGCATCGTTCAACAGGATTTTTCTGTCACCCTGTGAAGTGGGCTTGCTTCTCCCCGTTACGCAGATGACCACACTGAGGCTGCGCGCTGATTGACTTGCCCAAGGCCCCACAGCATGTCAGAGGGGGGGTGGCGTTGACACTAGATTGTCTTCCAGGCCTCTGTCCTCTGGGGTGACATGACCTCTGGGATGCTGGAACCTCAGGGCCAACCTGGTTTCTCCTCAAGACCTTATTTTGGGAGCACCCACAGCCTCCAGGCTTACGCCCAGCCTGAAATCTAGGGCTGTGGGTGGTCATGAGCAGGGCATGGTGCTGTCGGCACCAAGCATCTCTCTGACCCAGGTTGGCAGGTGGCACGAGGCCCAAGGCTCCAGTGTATTTGAGAAAAGGGGCGAGCCCTCTGGTTCCTGCCCATAGCTCCACCTCTGGGTAGGCGGGCAAGGCTTCTGGAGGTCCACTTGGTGTCCTTCATGCCGTTGGGGGAGCTTCTGAGAGACAGTGTAGCCTAGAGGCTATAGAGCAGTGGCTCTCAACCTTCCTCATGCCGCGACCCTTTAATATAGTTCCTCAGGTTGTGGTGACCCCCAACCATAAAATTGTTTTCGTTGCTACTTCATAACTGTAATTTTGCTACTGTTATGAATCGTAATGTAAATACCTGATATGCAGGATGTATTTTCTTTTTTTTTTAATATATTTTTTATTGATTTTCTACAGAGAGGAAGGGAGAGGGATAGAGAGTTAGAAACATCGATCAGCTGCCTCCTGCACACCCCCTACTGGGGATGTTGCCCACAACCAAGGTACATGCCCTTGACCGGAATCGAACCTGGGACCTTTCAGTCCGAAGGCCGACGCTCTATCCACTGAGCCAAACCGGTTAGGGCTTTATTTTCATTGTTACAAATCAAACATAATTAAAGCATAGTGATTAATCACAAAAACCATATGTAATTATATATGTGTTTTCCGATGGTCTTAGGCGACCCCTGTGAAAGGGTCGTTCGACCCCCAAAGGGGCCGCGACCCACAGGTTGAGAACCGCTGCTCTAGAGGCTTTGGAGCCGGTCGCTCTGGCTCTGCCACTTACTAACTTTGAGACTTTGGCAAAGTGAGTTGATTCTCTGGCTTTCCCATCTGTAAAGCAGGGATCGTGGTCATTTTGACTTTAGGTGGCCACGCAGTGAGGAGGGATGGCCCTGGGACTCAACCCC